TGAAACGTTGTGAATATGGCAATGAAGAAGAGGATAACAGTCCGAATAAGATAAATAATGCAAGTTTAAAGAGTTTAACTCGCGTTTTGGTGATCGAATCGTCTGTGATCTCTCGTTCTCTCATGTAACGGTAAAAGATATATTTTCCTCTGGCCTAGAACCATGCATGCAATTAAGACTCTGCGTCGACTGAACCTTCTGTTGGTAAATCTGTTCCCCTTCATGTTGAAAAATGTTTGTTTTAAGTTGTTAAAACTAACGGGGCTTGTCCAGAAAATATTCAGATAAAGTTGATTCCTACGTCCTCCCTGTATTTATCGCGCCTACAATTATTTCTCCATTCCATTTTGTTTGGGTTTTGCTGGAACTCACATTCTTGGTATTTAAAACGAAATCCACTATTTTCTTTTTCATTTTTTTTTTTTTTTTAGCCTTTCACCCCAAGCAAGCCGGGAAGTCACTAGGACGCAAGGTGTTACAGAAAATTTGGAGCAAGATCAGATAGGAGTGATAGAAGAAAGTATGAGGAGAAGGGTAGTGGATAGATCAAGGCAACTGGAAATGTCGATTGACATTACATTTGAATAGCTGGAGATTATAGCTCTCAGGGAAACTGGAATAGGGAAGGGAGTTCCACAGGCGAGAGGTGCGAGACATGAAGCTATTAGAGTAGAAGAGACGGCTACATTTAATAGTTTCGACAGTGAAAGGGTGAGAGCGAGATACCAGCCTCGTAGGGCGCTTGAACGCATGAAGTCTGGGAACCAGCGAATGCAGCTACTCGGAGCAACTGCCATGAAAGTATTTGTAAAACAGACAGAGAGAGGCGACGGCCAGTCTGTGAGAAAGTGACTGTAGACGAGATACACTGAAGATTTGGATTCTTAAAAGTGTTTATCAGTTGTATAGTGCCTCCCCAAAACGAACAAAAACGGATACATTTGCGTGCATGAATGTTTTTAGTTGAAAAATGCATCATCTTTTCAGGATTTCTTTCTTAATACAATATTCTCTCTTAATTTCACCCCAAGAAAGACAATAAAGCCACTAAGATGCTTCTAGATTGATGATGTACTGGAATAACCTGTCATCCACTTGAGTAACTACACTATTCTTATGGTACTGATTTTTTTAAAATAAACCTTTACTTATTTTATCCACCTTGTTTTTCAAGTATATATTCCTATTAGCACGGAATATAACAATTGGGAACAAGGTCTCCTCGTTTTAATTGTTCTAATGAACTCTCCTCAACCACATGAATTTAAGCGTACGACTAGATTGGCAAATACTGTTGAAATAGCTAATTCGTAATTGCTATTCTAACAGTTTATTTTCTCGCACTATTCAATCGTGGAACATTCTTAGGTTTCCTGTTTTTCTGCAACCTATAATTTAAAAAAAGATAAATGCAACGACAATCATCATCATCTCTTTACTGATCATTTTTCATTTATTGTCCTTTCTTCTCACTAAAATTTTCTCATTCTCTTTCACTCTCAGTAAGCTCTGGCGTCTTAGTGGCATTATCGCCTTACTTTGGGTGAAATTATTAGAAAATATTCTTGTTTTTATTTTAGTATTTTCCAGGATTTTTTTTACATCTACTTTTGATTCAATATATTATCCTAGGAAATTTCCAATTTTTCGTAATTCCTGGAACTGCTGACTGTAAGCAACATAGAGCGAAACAAATGTGTATCTGGAAAAGACAGGATTAATGAACATAACATATTGGGAAGAATTTATGTCTCGGCCCTGTTGCAGTACTCAGACGGAATCTATCAGACTGTAAAACATCAGCCGCTTTCCTTGCGCAGAAAAAATAATTTTGTTCTAATACCATATTCAAACGAATCAGTTTCTTACTGTAAATTTGCGCAATAACATTATACCCAGGCTTAATGAATTGCAAATAAACATAGACAGAAAAGGAAAGTTATCCTGTTGTTCTGGTTCACTTGAATATGTTGAAGTTTTTTCTTCATCACTTCATAAATTTCGTCAGTTTCGTTTCTCGTCATAAAACAGTATTTCATCGCTAGCGACTCCTTTGTTTTAAAAGCAATGATTCTCTTTGATGAGCAAGAAGCGGAAGACAAGCCTTTAAATACGGACCGATTTTCGTTCCCACAACCCATTTCTCGTGAATCTGAACTTTTAAAAAGGATGGTAGACGACGTACAAGAGATGACTGATTGCATACGCCGTAAAAAGCTGAATAAATTGTAGATTGTGCAAAAGATGGCGCCGAATATTTCTATCGGACGAATAAAATAAATTAAACTATTTCTTTTCTTACTGTTTTTTCCCCCGAAATGTTATGTACTTGTTTACAATGAATCGCTAATTGGGTATAAATCAGACATCTCGAACAGAATAAGATAAAACATACATTTATGTTTTCCTTGAGTGCGACTATAATGCGAAAATTTAATTCCATTAAACAAACGTTTTGCCCAACCAGCATATATAGAAAGTCAAAAAAAATAATGCAA